GTACTTATGCCGGCTCCCCGTACGGTACGAGGACCAGTCCTGGTACCAGTTTTCAGCTGCTGTACTCGTACTCGGTGTGACTTGCTCATGTTTCGGCATTGGGGAATCCAAGACTTCGACTTTGTGTCCTTGCCACTGTGTCTGCGTCCGACCCTCGGTCGTGTCGTGTCGAGTGAGTGAGTGTGTGTGTGTGCTCTCACTCTCTCCCTCTCTCTCTCTCCTCTCCCTCGGCTCTCCCTGTCTCCATCGACCTCGTACTGGTTACAGTGATCCTTGCCTTTGGGATGTGACTTTCGACTGGGTACCGGTTGGACTTGACCTCTGGGGTACCCGATTTAACCTTTCCGAATCTGGCCGACTTCGCCCCTTTTGGCTTGGGGACTTTTGACCCTGAGATTCGAATTTGGGGTCTGCCACGTGAAATGTGTGTCATCCTTGCGCAGGGGCCATGCTAATCCTCTCTGGGGAGAATAGGGGTAAAAGGAAACATGGGTTCATCAGAAACTGTGCAGTCTACACAGGGGCCGAGTCAGCAGCCCGTTAGACTTTCAAAGCTCCAGCCCATTCGAGATCAACCGGGGAGCATCACCACGGCATGGATTCTACGCGTGGCTGTTGAGTCAAAGGCCCAAGCCGATTCGCTGTTTGTCAGAGTTGACGACGTTCTTGTTGGTCCTAAAATTTTCCTCCCCCGAACCGCACTTGTCACTCACTGGCAGACAGGTACATCGAAATGTGTAACCTGCTTGTTATTGACCCGCGAACATCAGAGGGCGAGAGGTTTCTCCCCAGGCTTGAGTGGTGGTTTTAAGTGTCAAGTTTTAACACAATAACGTGGTCAACGTGGTCATAAACGGATATCAACGGATATCGGGATTGTGTTTTGTGATGGAAATTGCGCTTTTTAACATTTTGAATTACGAGGAGCTGAGTACCCGTAGCCACTTGTCGTGCTGCGACAATTGGCTATATGTAATGTACCTGCAGAGAAGGAAAAGTTACTGTAAAAGTACTCATGTTCCCCCTGCCATCTCGTGAGATAACCGCAATCACTACCGGGATATGAGAGAAATAATGGAGGGGACAGCTAAGGGTTTATAAGCCATCCTTTGTGGTAATCGCTCTTACGCAAGGAACATTATTGGGTTTGCATTCAAGAGCACAATGTATAATGTACTGATCTCTGTTTTGTAAACTTCTTTTCGTATTGTGTGCACCAGGTTAACGTGTCGCGGTTCACAGTCAAGAACACCATTGAAGACCGGATACTTGCTTTACAGGTAAAGAAAAGGGGAAAGTAATAAGTAAAGAGTTATCGGATGTCCAGGCCTGTCGAACGCAAACCCTGTGAATCTGTCTTATTGAGGTTTCAACATTCCTAAAAAGTTCCTAACCATTCTATGTCAGATGAAATCAGAGCAAGGGTTGCTGTGGCATAATGCTCACCACACGGGCCTGCAGGGCCCGACCAGGCGGAATAAAGGCCCTCCAGGCCCTGTATCGTTTCAGCCTAAAAGCCTAAAAAGGAGGACCAACTTTAGGCCCTCATGAAGGCGACCTTTCCTGAAACTTTGGCGCCAGACCAGGGATAAGCACAGGCCACTTCTAGGCCCGTTTCAAGATGACCTGTTTTTTTTAACTTCAGCGCCAGGGTCTGGCCTGATTCGGCATTGGCAAGAGCAGCCTCCCAGCCGGACCAGCACTATATAGTACTGGTCCACCCAGGAGGCAGGTAGGCAGTTGAGGAGGCAGTCTTCAGGATTCGGCCGCAACACTCTGCAGGAGCGCTGCAGTAGTGGTAGCTAGTGCTAGGAGTAGTCTTCAGCGCTGGGCACTGCTAGGAGCTTAGAGTAGTGTTGAGAGAGAGAGAGAGGTGGTGGAGGCCAGGGAGACTTACCTGTGGCACCATGGCTCCAGCTTCGTCTTCGATGTACCTGCAACAAGGCGCCACCTTCACAGGTTAGTAACGGGCTGAGAGAGAGAGCGAGAATTCTTCTTCTTCCTCTTCTAACTCTACCATCTCTCCCTCACCCTCTCGCTACCTGACTTCTCAGTATCGACGGCCTACGAGAGAGAGGGGGAGAGATTTGTGACTTCGGGATTTGACGACATTTGGATTCCGACTCGACATTGGGACACAGACATTGGACGGGGGATTATTTGGGATCTATGTCGAAGACTTGGTGTTGACGACATCCTCATCCCCACCTTCCTCTTCGTCTGATCTCCCTCCTTTCATCTGTGTATGCTTGGAGCCTGGCGCATTCCTCCTGTGTGTAGCGCCAGGCCTTTCACACCTTGCGATGATGATGATGTCTGTTTGGTCTGCATTGCGACATTGATTGGTCTGATCATTGGTATTTAAGTCTTCCGCTGCGCTATCCTGTACTAGGCGAGAGAGGTCGGTTCTTGTTCTGGTCTGCACCTTTACGGTATGCAACAGTTTGGTATCGGAGCGGACCTCTCAATCAGAGGATCCGACCAATCAAGGAGCCAGCTTGATTGATTGTTATTGATTAGTCAAGAAGGGCTTCGTCAAATCTCTGCAAACTTTTTTTTTCGCAACAGATCTCCAGAAATTTGGATATTAGCATTTAGTTTTTTTGTTTCACTCTGGGCATAGTAGGTGAACTAGGGAGGTTGTCATATTCTCGGACTGGATCTATTCTTCTCTGCAAGTGGAACCTCCATTCTATTTCGCCCAAAAAAAAAAATTCAAGATCGCATATTTTTTGAAAGCGAAACTTTGCGAAACCTTGCCTAGATCTCGCTCATAGTACTCCTCCGTAATGCCTCACTGATATCAAATCGACGGAGCCTGCATTGTGCACGGCCGCCATTGTACATGCCTCTGACCACTGGGAGCTGTGGGACAACGGCACCATGGTCCATGCCATGATTGATGTCACTGATTTCTTACAAAATGATTGTTGTTTTCTTGCCACAACAAACCGTCCGCAATCTCTTTTATGTCGAAGATATCCTCTGGCCCCGTGCTGCAGCAAGACAATGCACCAACACTCTGCGACCTTCTCCTTTGCACAACCACGAACACTGTTACACTCGGCTGTAGCCGCCATTGTCTCTGTCACAATCACTACAATGACATGGTTTCTGCATCCATGTGTGCAGAGGACTGTCCCACCGTTCCTGACTGCAGGCACCCTCCGCATCCGGACACTATATGTCCATTTTGCAGCCATGGGCGCTATAGTGAATGCATGCTCTTTTGTGGTGACCGTTCTTCTTTCATTTTGCCCCGCAATCGACATGCCATTTGTCGGGGGTGTATAACGGGCATGCTCAATGCCACCCGTCGTGGCAATTGTTGCACTGAGAATGCTCAGCTAGGTCTTTCATGTGTTCATCCACGTCATCCTTACAATGTATGTCCTCTCTGTCGTCAAGGACAGACTCATTCTTGAACCTTTTCTTATCCTCTTTTGCCTTCATCTTCACTCCACACTCCATACTTTCCCTCACTTTCCCTTTATCGTTCTTTGTTTGTCTGCTCTCCATCTCTCCTCTCTGTGTTTATCCCCTCCCCCTTCACTCTGCCTCTTTCTCACAGCGTACAAGTGGGCTGTTATGGCACACGGCGATGGGGGCAGCTCGCGCTCAATTTCATCAACGTGGCGAGCCTTGTACACGGTGAAAGGGGAGTCAAAAGAAGAATGAGTAAAATGAATGGTTTCACTGTGCCCTTCATGTTTGTCTGTTTTTTTTTTTTTTTTTTGCCGTTTGTTTCGCAAATTGCGCTCTTTTAGTTCATAGCTATGTGACAATCTCTCTCTCTCTCTCTCTCTCTCTCTCTCTCTCTCTCTCTCTCTCNCTCTCTCTCTCTCTCTCTCTCTCTCTCTCTCTCTCTCTCTCTCTCTCTCTCTCTCTCTCTCTCTCTGCCTACGGTTTACCGGGCAGTTCTATTTGTGACGATATATATATCTATATGCAATCAGACTCGCTTTCTTTCCACTTCGCATACATGCAAACAGATGGCGATTCACACTGGCGCGCAGCGCCCACTCAAAACTCAGAGATATGGAAATCGAAAACACAGTTTGGATGCAAACTCTCTTCAATAAGCGATGGCGCATCAGCGCCTGAATATCCCAACCTTCGACACTGTACCCAACACCACTGTTCGCACACGCTCACTCTGGATCACCCTGAATACTCCCACACACACACACGCTAAGTCTATCTTGCTCCTATCGCGGCTATGGCCGCTCTACCTCTACTGACTATGGCTACGATCTCCCTTCAGCCCACTTCAACTTCGGGCGACCTGCAGACCACCTCGCACAAGACACTGTAGCACCGCTTCCGCACGGCTCACACAGCAAATGAATGAATGGCTGGGCGCTGCCTCTTGATTTATACTTCTGTAACTCGTTGGTCTGCCCCTTTCCACCGGGCCCAAGGTGCACACAGTCCCTCATGGTACTTGCTTGACTGGGCTGTGACTGACTGGGACGGTACCGCTAACTGCACGGGATTGCACTGCCGACGCAGTGCTGTTGGGCTCACCACTTGCCCACTTGCCTCTGGCTAAACGTGAGACAACTTCGGAAGGCCACTTCCGGACCTTCCGGAAGTCTGTGGACTTGGCCTTTCAAGTACTGTAGCAGCTACCTTGACCTTTCAGGACTGTAGCAGCTACGATGTTGACCTTTCAGAACACCTACAGCTATGACCTCTACAGAGCTGTGACCCCTACTCAACAGGTCTACAGATCGAACCCCTACAACTACACAGACCTACGACAGACATCAAACAACTACCAAAATACGGGTCACGGGTTCAAACACTCGGGGGTCAACTCGATACTGTACATGGGCAAGGTAAGGTCTGGGGATCGAACTCTAGTGCCCGCATCTGTGACTGCAGATAGGTGAAAACCGTTTCATATATATATAATTGTCACAGCCCCTCGTTTGTTGTCCTCTTCTCTCTCTCTGCCTACGGTTTTACCGGGCAGTTCTGTTTGTGACGATATATATATAAATTTGGTGAAAATTTTCGATGTGACCTGAGGCAAAAGTTGTTCATTTGATTTTTCCGCATAGCATAGTTTTTTCCCGGATTTGTTGGATTTTTTTATTTTTTCTTTTGCTGGGACCTTCCCTGGTCCTTGCACGGGCTGGCCACCCGGGACTTGGGCGTCCCAGCTGGTAGCCTAGACAGATTTTCAAATAAAAAACAAAAAAAAAAGGGGGGGGGATCCCGGGATCCTCTTCCTTAATATTTTTTATTTTTTATATTTTATTCTGTTGATTAGGACCTGGAATGGAAAGTGCAGTGTGGTTAACTTTCTGCGTTTCCCTCCCACCCAGACCTTTGCCTGCATTCCTGGTTTGGTAAGTACCACGTCAGCAGTGCCACGTCAGCAACAGTGCCACATCAGCAGTGCCACATCAGCAGTGCCACATCAGCAGTGCCACATCAGCAGTGCCACGTCGGCAGTGCCTCGCCACCATGACGGTTTCAGTTTTGGGCATGTTAGGCCAACTGGCCAACGAGTCCATCGCCGAGTACCGACAGCGGTTTCAAGCTCAGCGCGCACTGATCGAGGCTGAGGAACAGCGCCAGGCGGCAGCCGAGGCTGCCCGCCTTCAGGCCGCAGCTGACGCAGATGCCCAGGGCCGCCGCAAGGAGGCCCAGTATCTGCTGCAGCGGCACGAAGCCGCCAGCATCGACAGGCTCAAGTTCTAGCATTTTGAACCGTCCGAGGGCCACGACGACGCGACACCGGAAGAGAAGCACAAGGAGTTTCTCTCCAAACTCGTGACCTGGTTGGTTTACACTTGTAACCACCTGCAGTCCGAGCTAGAGAAACAGCACCAGGAACTGGCAAACCTCCGACGGGCAGTGCGGAACCACATCTGCACGAGGGTGCTACACGGGCACATCATACCGGTGTACAGGACTTGGAGCAAGCAGCACCAGGACCAGATGCTGGCGAACCCAGCAATGCAGCCTCAACCAGCCAGTTGGAGTTGATCATGTTCTTGCAATGCTTGGCGACATCAACACCTTCGCTGCACCGACCCCCATCAGCGAGCAGCTCGACACCTCGAAGAACGCAGTTCGGCAACTACACCAGCCGCACGACAACGATGGCAGCACCTGTGCATCGCGACGTTTTGGATCGAAAAGTTTGATGACTATACGCATCAGGACCCGGTCCCCTGGTGGCAGGGCTTTACGACGGAGCTTCGGATTCATGAGGTCCCCGCTCACTTGTCCATCTTGGCACTTTTCCTCAACGTCAAGGGCGGAT